CTTTACAGTAGAAGCACTTAGTCTCAGGATTAGGACCAGACTTGGGTTTCTTCACTTGAGCAGCAACTTGCTTGCCATTCTTCTTGAAGTTCCCTTCTATCCCTTTGCCCTTTTCTTGAAACTAGTGGTCTTGTTAACCATCAACACTTGATGTTTTTCTTGATTTCTACCTTCGTTGATTTCAGCATCACGAAGAGCTTGGGAATTACTTTCGTCATCCCTTGCATATCATAGTTCATCACAAAGTTCTATTAACTTGGTGATGGTGACTAGAGAATTCTGTCAATCACTATTTTATCTGGAAGATTAACTCCCACTTGATTCAAGCGATTGTAGTACCCAGACTATCAGAGCACATGCTCACTAGTTGAGCTATTCTCTTCCATATTTTAGTTGTAGAACTTGTTGGAGACTTCATATATCTCAACTCGGGTATTTGCTTGAAATATTAACTTCAACTCCTGGAACATCTCATATGGTCCATGACGTTTAAAACGTCTTTGAAGTCCCGATTCTAAGCCGTTAAGCATGGTGCACTAAACTATCAAGTAGTCATCATATTGAGCTAGCCAAACGTTCATAACATCTGCATCTGCTCTTGCAATAGGTATGTCACCTAGCGGTGCATCAAGGACATAATTCTTCTGTGCAGCAATGAGGATAGTCCTCAGATCACAGATCCAATCCGCATCATTGCTACTAACAACTTTCAACATAGTTTTTCTCTAGGAACATATCAAAATAAACATAGGGAAGCTACAACACGAGCTATTGATCTACAACATAGATATGCTAATACTACCAGGACTAAGTTCATGATAAATGTAAGTTCAATTAATCATATTTCTTAAGAACTCCACTTAGAAAGACATCCCTCTAATCCTCTAAGTGATCACATGATCCAAATCAATTAAACCATAACCGATCATCACATGAAATGGAGTAGTTTTCAATGGTGAACATCACTATGTTGATCATATCTACTATATGATCACGCTCGAACTTTCGGTCTCCGTGTTCCGAGGCCATATCTGCATATGCTAGGCTCGTCAAGTTTAACCTGAGTATTCTGCGTGTGCAAAACTGGCTTGCACCCGTTGTAGATGGACGTAGAGCTTATCACACCCGATCATCACATGGTGTCTGGGCACGACGAACTTTGGCAACGGTGCATACTCAGGGAGAACACTTTTATCTTGAAATTTAGTGAGAGATCATCTTATAATGCTACTGTCAATCAAAGCAAGATAAGATGCATAAAAGATAAACATCACATGCAATCAATATAAGTGATATGATATGGCCATCATCATCTTGTGCTTGTGATCTCCATCTCCGAAGCACCTCCATGATTGCCATCGTCACAGGCGCGACACCTTGATCTCCATCGTACCATCGTTGTCGTTTCACCAACCTTATGCTTCTACGACTATCGCTACCGCTTAGTGATAAAGTAAAGCATTACAGGGCGATTGCATTGCATACAATAAAGTGACAACCATATGGCTCCTGCCAGTTGCCGATAACTCGGTTACAAAACATGATCATCTCATACAATAAAATTAAGCATCATGTCTTGACCATATCACATCACAACATGCCCTGCAAAAACAAGTTAGACGTCATCTACTTTGTTGTTGCAAGTTTTACGTGGCTGCTACGGGCTTAGCAAGAACCAATCTTACCTACGCATCAAAACCACAACGATAGTTTGTCAAGTTGGTGTTGTTTTAACCTTCGCAAGGACCGGTCGTAGCCACACTCGGTTCAACTAAAGTTGGAGAAACTGACACCCGCCAGCCACCTGTGTGCAAAGCACGACGGTAGAACCAGTCTCGCGTAAGCGTACGCGTAATGTCGGTCCGGGCCGCTTCATCCAACAATACCGCCGAACCAAAGTATGACATGCTGGTAAGCAGTATGACTTATATCACCCACAACTCACTTGTGTTCTACTCGTGCATATAACATCAAACCATAAAACCTAGGCTCGGAAGCCACTGTTGGGGAACGTAGTAATTTCAAAAAAATTCCTACGCACACGCAAGATCATGGTGATGCATAGCAACGAGAGGGAAGAGTGGTGTCCACGTACCCTCGTATACCGTAAGCGGAAGCGTTATGACAACGCGGTTGATGTAGTCGTACGTCTTCACGATCCGACCGATCCAAGCACCGAACGTACGGCACCTCCGAGTTCAGCACACGTTCAGCTCGATGACGATCCCCGGACTCCGATCCAGCAGGGTGTCGGGGATGAGTTCCGTCAGCACGACGGCGTGGTGACGATGATGATGTTCTATCGACGCAGGGCTTCGCCTAAGCACCGCAACGATATGACCGAGGTGGAATATGGTGGAGGGGGGCACCGCACACGGCTAAGGAACGATCACGAAGATCAACTTGTGTGTTCTAGGGTGCCCCCCTACCCCCGTGTATAAAGGAGGAGGGGGAGGTGCGGTCGGCCCCTTTGGGTGCGCCTGGAGGAGTCCTACTCCCACCAAGAGTAGGACTCCCCCCCCCTCTTGCCTTGTTGGAGCAGGAAAGGGGGAAGGGGAAGAGGAAAGGGGGGCGCCGCCCCCCCTTCCTTGTCCTATTCGGACTAGGGGGGAGGGGGCGCGCGGCCTGCCCTGGCTGGCCCTCCTCTTCTCCCTTAAGGCCCATGTAGGCCCAATAACCCCCGGGGGGTTCCGGTAACCCCCCGGTTCTCTGGTAAAATCCTGATTTCACCCGGAACGATTCCGATATCCAAATATAGGCTTCCAATATATCAATCTTTATGTCTCGACCGTTTCGAGACTCCTCGTCATGTCCATGATCACATCCAGGACTCCGAACAACCTTCGGTACATCAAAACATAAACTCATAATAAAACTGTCATCATAACGTTAAGCGTGCGGACCCTACGGGTTCGAGAACTATGCAGACATGACCTAGAACCATTCTCGGTCAATAACCAATAGCGGAACCTGGATGCTCATATTGGCTCCCACATATTCTACGAAGATCTTTATCGGTCAGACCGCATAACAACATACATTGTTCCCTTTGTCATCGGTATGTTACTTGCCCGAGATTCGATCGTCGGTATCCAATACCTAGTTCAATCTCGTTACCAGCAAGTCTCTTTACTCGTTCCGTAATACATCATCTCGCAACTAACTCATTAGATGCAATGCTTGCAAGGCTTAAGTGACAAATTCTAATCTCGAAATACGCCAACCCAACAAGTACCTTCAGAGACACCTGTAGAGCACCTTTATAATCACCCAGTTACGTTGTGACGTTTGGTAGCACACAAAGTGTTCCTCCGGTAAACGGGAGTTGCATAATCTCATAGTCATAGGAACATGTATAAGTCATGAAGAAAGCAATAGCAACATACTAAATGATCGGGTGCTAAGCAAACGGAATGGGTCATGTCAATCACATCATTCTCCTAATGATGTGATCCCGTTAATCAAATGACAACTCATGTCTATGGTTAGGAAACATAACCATCTTTGATCAACGAGCTAATCAAGTAGAGGCATACTAGTGAGACTCTGTTTGTTTATGTATTCACACATGTATCATGTTTCCGGTTAATACAATTCTAGCATGAATAATAAACATTTATCATGATATAAGGAAATAAATAATAACTTTATTATTGCCTCTAGGGCATATTTCCTTCAAAAGCATCTCTTCTTGCATTATTTCATGAGTTTCATATTTCTTTCTGATGGCAGACCTCTCGTCCATCCTTCATCGGAATCAGACGACTAAGACTTCCTTTCCTTTTCTAGACGGGCACGACGAAGTGCTTTGGTTTCTTTGTAGGAAGTAATCATATACACGTATATAAGTAGCTCAGAACTTATGATGCACGTTCTCTACAGCTGAGCAGGAACGAGAGGGGCGGCGTGTGGTGCGCAACAGCTGCATACCATCCAATGTGCTGACAATCAGTCAGGGGTGAGGAAAAGCACCCGCCTTCCTCACAAGTACGGATCGAACTTGGATTTGAAATTAACTAGACAAGTACAAGTCGAATCTAACTAATACTTTTATTTTGTTCCTTCTCTTTTTTAATTTCCCTTACTACTCCCCGGTGTGACACCCAGCTACAGTCGGCAATCCTGCTAGGCATGGTGTGGAGCATTCAATAGAGATTTGGGAAATTCGTAGAAGAAGGCATCATGGAAGAAGAGATGATTTGGGATTGGTGATCACTCGTGGCCTCCTCTAGGGTTGGTCTAGATAGATGGGAGAAAAGACCGGTCTCATGATTTTTTTCTCACCTTCGACTACTGATTCACAATATTGACCAAAGCAACAAGTTAGTCTGCAAAGGGTTAATCTTTTTTATCAAAACCATATTCTTTTTATCAAAACCATATTATTGCGCAAGCCTAAATGGATGAACACATGCCCTCAGGAAACAAGAGAGGATGAACCCAAAGCGCGAGGGTGTGTGTGTTGAGGCATGGTTCGCACCTAGCAATTTGGGCACTCGAGCCCCAAATGGGTCGGGCTAACCAGGCTTGCCCGTGTGCACGCCGGCACGGCCCGCCATGGGCTAAACGGGTCAGGTCCGGTATGCGTCACGCCCTGGGCCGTGCTTGGGCTGCTAGCCTGAGCACGCGGGCCGACACGGCACAGCCCGATTATGATTTTTTTTTGTTTTTTATACATCTCTATATGGCCCAACAAAAAAATAGGCTAAAAAGCCCGATGCGTCAAATAGCAGACAAACTAGCGGGCCTGACGTGTTGGTGGGCTGGCCCGATTAGTAGCTGGGCCGTGCCTGGGCTGTGACCTCCCGCCAGTGGGCCGGCACGGCACGGCCCGGCTATTAGTTGTGCCGTCACGGGCCATGCCGTGCCAGGCACGTTTACCGCGGGCTGGCACGGCCCGGCCCGTTTGGCCAGGTATGCTCCAGTGCATCTGACTTCGGGTCCTCGGCCCACGCTGCACAATTCGACTCATCTCAGCTTCTCCTCTTCCTCGTCGGCGCATGGCGCCGCCGCCGCCACCGCCGATAGACGCGCCTCTGCGGCTTCCGCCTCTCCCGGCGGACACCATCTTGGAGATCTTGTCCCGCGTGGGCGACGCCACCGCCGTCGTGCGCTGCGCAGCCACCTGCAAAGCATGGCGCCGCCTCATCCTGGAGCCGTCCTTCCTCTCCCGCGGTCGCGCCGGGCGCTCCGACCCCTCCCCTCTCCTCGGCTTCTTCTTCCTGGACACTTCCCAAAAGCTGCCCCGTCGCCGCCTCTACCTCCGCCGCCCCACGCGCTTCCTCCCCCTCGGCCCCTCTCAGTCGCAGGCAACCGCCCTCCCCCTGTCCCACTTCTTGCCGAAGCCGGACGCGGCCGGCCTCAGCGGGTTCGCCCCCGTCACGTCAGGCGCCGGCGGGCTCCTTGCCCTCCGCCGTTCCCCGGCCAGCTCGTGCGACCCCGTCAGGATCTGCGTCTGCGACCCCGTGGCCGGGACCTCCACCTTCCTCCCCCCTCTCCCGCCCACAACATCCCCCGAGAACATCGTCTTCCTCGACGCCGATGGCTCCTCGTTCCGCCTGCTTGCGGCGATGGACCGCCCAAATGGGATCCGCCTGCGCGTCTTCTCCTCCCAGACCGGGCAGTGGGGCACGGCTGTGACGGCCCAACTTCCTGGTAACATGGTGGTCCACCTCTGCTCCCCTGCCGTCGTCCACCGTGGTGCCGTCCACTGGATATGCGGCACCCGTGCCCTCCCGAATGCGGTGCACGCACTGGCCGTTCGCCCCGGCCAGGCCGATGTCTCGGTGTGCCGATTCGACCTTCCGCTGCGCGCAGGCATTCACCGCCTGAACCATGCCGCAGAAGCCGTTCGCCTGTTCAGTTCAGCTCAGGGGTGTCTCTCCTTGGTTCTCCTGGATGAACCTGTGAATGTGATCTCCATCTGGAACTTGGAAGACGACAGCACCCATGGCAACTCGTGGGAGCTTCACAAGATGGTACATCTGACGTCGGTGTTGCCGTCGACAATCCTTGATCCTTCTGCCGGGTGGGGGCTCTCTGTCGTAGCATTGTGCGACCAGAGTGGCTCCTTGTTCTTGCGTGCTGTGGGCGAGGGCGGCCTTTTTGTGCTCAACCTGGAGACGGAGGCGATGTCGAGGGTACGCAATGACCACTGCGCCAAGTTCCTATGCCCATATGTGGCGAATCTGAGTTCTTGCCTGGGAGCCATGAAGAATTTCTGATGCTGGACTCAAAATTCAGGTTTCTGAACACACTAGCTTAATGCATATTAAGAGATGAGTGCCGAGTGCGCAGTTCTGTTTCTATGTATTTTACTGGTCTACTCTTATCTGTGATGTACCACCTGTTTATTTTCATACCTGGAGGCTCTATACTGTTTAAAGTTTCATCAGCTTATTGTATTTGGCTTTGCTTATTGTAGTCTTCATTTCTAATCGGTGTCCTCTACTGCCAAACTTGAATTTGGATATGATTAGAGTTTGTATGTCCAGTGGGGTTCTATGATGCGAAACTGAAAGAAACAGGATTAAATTGCGCTTATTTTCTTCAATTCACTATGCCAATAATGCAATTTGCTGCTTCTTGGAAGGCAAGATTTTAGTTATCTAAGCCAATGTGAACAATAGAAGAAATTTTATTGTTTTGCATTCTGAGGTGACAACTCTTGTGATCGGGTAGTAAAAGAAAAAAGAACGCATAAAAATGGGAATTTGCCAGATTATGATTACTAGAGCTGACAGTTACATCATGTCTTAGAGTTAGTATGACACAGTATATGTTCTATTGTGACGCCCCGAGACCGACGCTTCAGACGCCTTCCATGTTTTTCGTTATCGACGTGTGTATTTATTTGTTTGTTGCATTCATCATCGCATCATACGCATTGCATCAGCATGTTTTTCTTAAACTCATGGTTCGTTCGTAGTTGCCGCGTTCACCCTTGCCTTCGTTGACTGATCCGAGTCCAACAGGGTTTTCGATTCCCTCTTGTCTGACCGTTTGACCCTCTCTACACTGTACTCAACCCCTCGCGCGCGTCCGAAAGTGTCCCGAACCCGATCCGCTCAGTCATCACCGTTGCATTCAGATCATCTCCTAACATCTGTAAAACATCTCCGTTTTCTTGATTGGACTTCCTAACCTATTTTTTCTCAGCCGCCCGATTCCGATCGTAGGGTCGTGATTTCCCCTAACCTAAATTCATGTGATATAAATATAAGTCCAATCCATAAAACCTAGGCTTCTTGTCCCATCGCGCCGCCACCCGCTCAATCCCCATCGGGATCCCACCTGTCCAAACCACCAACCAGCGCCTCCACCTACCAATCCATCGATCCACCCAACCAGAGCCCTCCCATGGCTCCCTTCGATTCCTCCCTCCTCCTGGCCGAGGAACCAGCGCCGCTCGTCGATCTCCTCGTGCCCGAGGCCTCTGAGCCGCTCCTCGCCGACGACTAGCAGGGCCGTCGCGTCCCTCTCCTCTGTTGATTCTTCTTCTGCTTCTTCTTTCCCCTGTCTCTCCCTCACATCTCTCTCTCCCGCTCTTGTGCTGCACAGGGAGCAACAACCGCCGCCCGTTCGTCATCCCGCTGCTGGAGCCGGCCAGCCGTCGCCCGCCTCCCTCTGCCGTCGCCGGGAACGGAGGTCCTCCGCCGCCCTGACCTCGGATCCGGTGGTTCTCTCGCCGCCCTCACACGTCCCCGTCGCCAAGTCCCCCGCGGCCTCTGTCTCTCTTTCTTCAGGGAGAACAGGAGCATGCCCCGCCATGGCCTCCTTGTCCCGGAGCAAGCTCGTCGGCGTCCTTCGTCCCCTGCGCCTCAAGTTCCCTCGCCCCAGCGCCGCTCCGCCTCCGCCCAGATCCGCCGCCTGTGAGTCCCACCTCGCCGTACCTGCGCCGCCGTGCCTCTTCGTCAGCCGCAGGAAGCCCCAGCCTCCTTCGCATCGCGGTAACCGCATGCTTCCAACCCCGCTGCCGCGAGGATGAGCCTCGTGCCCAAGCTGCCTCTTCTCACGCGCCGGTCAAGGATCCGGTCGTCCCCCGCCTTCCTGGACGTCCCTAGCTGACGCCAAGCCATGGCCGCGCGCCAAGCTTCTGTTGCGGCCGCCGCAAGAGACGGCAGCGCCAAGTCCTCCTCGAGTCCCCTGCCTCGGTTCCTTGCTCGCGCGCCAAGTTCCAGGTCTCCTCCGCCTGGATCGGCTCCTCCTCGCCTTGTCCTCGTCGCCGGGAGCTGCGCCATGGCCGCCCCGCCGTCTCCAGCGTCGCGCCCAAGTCCCGCCGTTCGTCACTCTGAACCTGCTGCTGCTGCTTCTGTTCTTCAGATACGAGAGCAGCAGCGCTTTGACCCTTGGTGTTGACCGCGCCACGCCAGCGCATGGCCCAGCGCATGGCCCAGCGCCCCTTCCAGCGCCTCTTCCATCGACCGGGCCAAGCCCATGGATGTGAGCAGCCCAGATCCTTCTGTTTTGGCCCGTGTTATGTTTTTTCCTGCCCAGCAATTTTAGCTTTATCCGGTGAATTACTGTTTTACAGAAAAACCCTTATGTTCATGCATTTAATATCTCACAAACCGTGCATCGGATTAAAATATTTTAAATATGTAAAATGCTTAGAATTTTATCTAGTTTCATAATATGCCACTTTTAACTATGTTTAAAATGCTTAAAATGCTCTTTGTTTAAATTTGCTCAAATGCCATGTTAAAATGATTTAATTCATAACTATTTAACCGTAGCTCGGAATTAAATAAACTTTATATGTAAATGGGGTGGAAAAATGCATAGATTAACATGTTGCACTTTATTTTCCTGTTTAACAACATTAAAATATGTTTTAGGCAGAACAGTAGCAAATTCGAAATATGCATATGAGGATTTTTCGGAATTGTTGTTTGTTATTTCCGGCCTCATTTAAACTTGCCTAAATAGGTAGTTTTGTTGTGCTTCACCCCTTGCCATGTTAATCAACATTTAATATTGTTGGGTACATAAACAAGAGTGAACTAAATAAATGTTGTGAAGTTTCGTCAATATGCAACTCGTTGCATATTGAGCTCCACTTAATTTGTAGTGTTGTTTGTTGCACTTTGCCATGCCATGCTATTTAAACCGGACATGCATCATACTCGCTTGTGCATCATGCCATGTTTATGTGATGATTGTTTTACTATGTTGCTTGCTTCTTTCCGGTTTGCTTCTCTCGTTAGCTTCGGTTTCGTTCCGGAGTTGTGAGGATTCGTTCGACTCCGTCCGTTTGTCTTCTTCATGGACTCGTTCTTCTTCCTTGCGGGATCTCAGGCAAGATGACCATACGCTCGAAATCACTTCTATCTTTGCTTGCTAGTTGCTCGCTCTTTTGCTATGCCTATGCTGCGATACCTACCATTTGCTTATCATGCCTCCCATATTGTTAAACCAAGCCTCTAACCCACCTTGTCCTAGCAAACCGTTGTTTGGCTATGTTACCGCTTTGCTCAGCCCCTCTTATAGCGTTGTTAGTTGCAGGTGAAGATGAAGTTTGTTCCTTGTTGGAACATGGAGATGTTGTTCCTTGTTGGAACATATTTACTTGTTGGGATATCACAATATCTCTTATATTATTAATGCATCTATATACTTGGTAAAGGGTGGAAGGCTCGGCCTTATGTCTGGTGTTTTGTTCCACTCTTGCCGCCCTAGTTTCCGCCATATCGGTATTATGTTCCCGGATTTTGCGTCCCTAACGCGGTCGGGTGATTTATGGGACCCCCTTGACAGTTCGCTTTGAATAAGACTCCTCCAGCAAGGCCCAACATTGCTTTTACCATTTGCCTCACCACCACCTACTTTTCCCTTGGGAGTAATTAACCCAAGGGTCATCTTTATTTAGCCCCCCGGGCCAATGCTTGTCTAAGTGTTGGTCCAAACTAGAGCACCATGCGGGACCGTCCCTTGGCAACTTGGGTTATGTTGGTACCTGTACGCTTCGCTTATCCGGTCGTGGCCTGAGACGAGATACGCGCGGCTACTATCATGGTGTTGGCACGCCGGGAGGTCTTGCTGGACTTGTTTTATTACTGTCAAAATGTCTTGTAGCCGGGATTCCGAGACTGATCGGGTCTTCCCGGGGAGAAGGAATATCCTTCGTTGATCGCGAGAGCTTATAATGGGCTAAGTTGGGACACCCCTGCAGGGTTTGAACTTTTGAAAGCCGTGCCCGCGGTTATGTGGCAGATGGGAATTTGTTATTGTCCGGTTGTAGAAAACCCGAAGTTGATCTTAATTAAAATACATCAACCGCGTGTGTAACCATGATGGTCTCTTCTCGGCGGAGTCCGGGAAGTGAACACGGTGTTGGAGTTATGCCTGACGTAGGTTGTTCTAGGATCACTTCTTGATCATAGTTGTTCGACCGTGCTTTTGCCTTCTCTTCTCGCTCTCATTTGCGTATGATAGCCACCAGATATGCTAGTCGCTTGCTGTAGCTCCACCTCACTACCCTGTCCTACCTTTAAGCTTAAATAGTCTTGATCTCGCGGGTGTGAGATTGCCGAGTCCCCGTGACTCACAGATACTTCCAAAACCAGTTTGCAGGTGCCGACGAAACCGTGCAGGTGACGCATCCGAGCTCAAGGAGGAGCTCAATGAAGATCTTGTTCTTTGGGTTGTTTCGTTTCAGTTGATCAGTAGTGGAGCCCAGTTGGGACGATCAGGGATCTGTGTAGCATTTCGGGTAGTCTTCTTTTATTTTGGTTCCGTAGTCGGACCCTGATTGTATCTGTATGATGTAATGCTTTATTCATGTTTTGTGTGAAGTGGCGATTGTAAGCCAACTATGTATCTCTTTCCCTTATGTATTACATGGGTTGTGTGAAGATTACCTCACTTGCGACATTGCTTCCAATGCGGTTATGCCTCTAAGTCGTGCTTCGACACATGGGAGATATAGCCGCATCGAGGGCGTTACAAGTTGGTAATCAGAGCCATCCCCGACTTAGGAGCCCCCCTGCTTGATCGAATCGCTGGCGTTGTTGAGTCTAGAAAAAGGTTTTGAGTCTTAGGATTATATATATCGGAGAGTAGGATTCTTTTTACTCCCCAGTCCCTTCGTCGCTCTGGTGAGGCATCCTGACGTAGACTTTTGACTCTCCTCTCCTAAAATTTCACTAAATTTTTTTTTAGGATCACGCGGGTATCTTAGAATCGTTCCGATGGTTTTGTGACGAGAACATTGTTCTTGGTGCCT